TAACAAGTGACAACTGTATGGTCATAATGAAAGACTTGCAACACCCTGTGCGATACAGGTGAGGCCAAGTCAAAAAAGATAACTTGCAACACCCTGTTTAATAATACAGATAAAACCAAGCTGAATGATGAAGAAAAAATTGCAACATCTGCTCGATACAGATGAGACAAGATTTAAGAGAATTAGAGACTTGCAACACCCTGTGGAGCACAGGTGAGGCCAAGTCATTTTGAGTGACTTGAATTATAATTTTTAATCATAAAATCTCTAATAGCTAATTCCATATTTATAGTTTTAACTAAAAGGCATTGTTTGAATAGCTTGAATTCTATATCTTTATTTTTTGTCCACATTTTTTGTTTTTTTCTAAATTGAATGAAATCCAAAAGACACCATGTTGTTTCTAACTTTTGCTCAAAGTATAGTGACACATTTTCTATTAGCTGGTCTTCAAAAGTATTTGAACTACAGTTTGTTCGATCCTCAAGCACTCTACAGTTTTGTTTATTCATTGTATTTTGTTTTGACATTTGCATCAAAAAATTAGCTAGAGATCAACAAAATCGATTTTCAGTAAATAATGGATTATAATTATATGGGAGTGAGTCAATAGAAATTTTTTAAATTTTTAAATAAAAATAACTCAACAAAAACTTAATTATATTTTAGTAAAAATTTTTTTAAATTAATTCTAAAATTTGTTAAAATTATTTTAAACAAATTTTTATTAAATTTGATTAAGTTGTTGTTGAGTTATCTTTGTTTAAAGTTTTAAAAAAATTTACTTAAAAAAAATTTAGTGCGTTTTTATTAACTTATCCCCATATGTGTGAAACTGGTAAAACTGGTGACTATCTGAAATCTGATTGGCTATTATTAGAGTGTCCAGATTATATGACTTCAGCGATTTTTCTATTGATATTTTAAATTCTATATACAGTTTTACAATAGACTACAATTTATTTATATTAACTACTAATTTACAGATTGACCTTTAAATTTAGATCATTTATGAGCAAGTCGCAAACATCATACAATTCAGTTAGGCATCTTGGATTTGATTTTAATAAGTAGTTTTGTATAATTTGACCAGAGTTACGAATTAATTTTTACTATCAAAATTATGTTTACTAGAGTTACATATTAATTCTGCCCAAAATTATGTTTACCAGAGTTACGAATTAATTCTACCAAAATTATGTTTACCAGAGTAATTTTATATGAGACTAGTATCACCAGTCAAAAAAATATGATCATATAGCATTTTCTAACATTAACATATTAGGGTTAGGGTTCTACTAATAGGTTAGCATTTGGTTTAGAGGGTTATAGATATGCCTTTTAAAAGTAAGTAGCTTGACATTAATCGTAGGGGAAGCCTTCCCCCGGGGGAAGGTGTTGGCATCAAAGAAAATGAACATATTGTAAAGATTTTTGTTAGATATAATTTATTTATTTATGTGTTTCAACTTTATGCTTTTATTACATTCAATTTAATTTATTTTAAAATTATTAATTAATTTTACTTGAAATTTATATTTTAATTTTGCCTGGACCCCTGATCTTGATTAATAATATAGTAAATATTAGCAAGAAATTTAATTTCACTGTCATAAGTTTCAGAAATATATCATATGCATCTTTATATATATATTTTTTTTACTGTTCATTATAGTAATTTGCCACTTGTTTTAATGCATCTAATCTGCTTGGCTAATTCTGAATAAATATTCCAAGCATCCTCATACTTTTTTAATTTATGCAGATGCCCTGCGACACCTTCGCTAAATTCTTGTATAGAGGTATATTGTATGTAAAATATGTTAAATGCGGACTTTTGTAAAGCATCCAAATTAACATTTAGTTCGATAGAATTTTCTGAATCACTTTCTGTACTTTCTTGACTGGGAGAATTATTGGACATTTTAACAGTCATAAAATCATATACAATTTGTAAATTTTATATTTAATTAATTCATACTTACACATGATATTTGTATTGTTATGTATACTAAATTCAATTAAGCAACTCTAATTTATTTATGTATTGAATATCAAACAATTCTCAGGAATACAATTTAAGAAAGCAATGATATTAAACTCTTAGTATAGCCACATATTATGTTGCACTTTGTTATATATGGGAATGGTGTAGAAAAAGATATAGAAAAAGCTATAGGTGTCGCAGGGCATCTGCATAAATTAAAAAAGTATGAGGATGCTTGGAATATTTATTCAGAATTAGCCAAGCAGATTAGATGCATTAAAACAAGTGGCAAATTACTATAATGAACAGTAAAAAAAATATATATATAAAGATGCATATGATATATTTCTGAAACTTATGACAGTGAAATTAAATTTCTTGCTAATATTTACTATATTATTAATCAAGATCAGGGGTCCAGGCAAAATTAAAATATAAATTTCAAGTAAAATTAATTAATAATTTTAAAATAAATTAAATTGAATGTAATAAAAGCATAAAGTTGAAACACATAAATAAATAAATTATATCTAACAAAAATCTTTACAATATGTTCATTTTCTTTGATGCCAACACCTTCCCCCGGGGGAAGGCTTCCCCTACGATTAATGTCAAGCTACTTACTTTTAAAAGGCATATCTATAACCCTCTAAACCAAATGCTAACCTATTAGTAGAACCCTAACCCTAATATGTTAATGTTAGAAAATGCTATATGATCATATTTTTTTGACTGGTGATACTAGTCTCATATAAAATTACTCTGGTAAACATAATTTTGGTAGAATTAATTCGTAACTCTGGTAAACATAATTTTGGGCAGAATTAATATGTAACTCTAGTAAACATAATTTTGATAGTAAAAATTAATTCGTAACTCTGGTCAAATTATACAAAACTACTTATTAAAATCAAATCCAAGATGCCTAACTGAATTGTATGATGTTTGCGACTTGCTCATAAATGATCTAAATTTAAAGGTCAATCTGTAAATTAGTAGTTAATATAAATAAATTGTAGTCTATTGTAAAACTGTATATAGAATTTAAAATATCAATAGAAAAATCGCTGAAGTCATATAATCTGGACACTCTAATAATAGCCAATCAGATTTCAGATAGTCACCAGTTTTACCAGTTTCACACATATGGGGATAAGTTAATAAAAACGCACTAAATTTTTTTTAAGTAAATTTTTTTAAAACTTTAAACAAAGATAACTCAACAACAACTTAATCAAATTTAATAAAAATTTGTTTAAAATAATTTTAACAAATTTTAGAATTAATTTAAAAAAATTTTTACTAAAATATAATTAAGTTTTTGTTGAGTTATTTTTATTTAAAAATTTAAAAAATTTCTATTGACTCACTCCCATATAATTATAATCCATTATTTACTGAAAATCGATTTTGTTGATCTCTAGCTAATTTTTTGATGCAAATGTCAAAACAAAATACAATGAATAAACAAAACTGTAGAGTGCTTGAGGATCGAACAAACTGTAGTTCAAATACTTTTGAAGACCAGCTAATAGAAAATGTGTCACTATACTTTGAGCAAAAGTTAGAAACAACATGGTGTCTTTTGGATTTCATTCAATTTAGAAAAAAACAAAAAATGTGGACAAAAAATAAAGATATAGAATTCAAGCTATTCAAACAATGCCTTTTAGTTAAAACTATAAATATGGAATTAGCTATTAGAGATTTTATGATTAAAAATTATAATTCAAGTCACTCAAAATGACTTGGCCTCACCTGTGCTCCACAGGGTGTTGCAAGTCTCTAATTCTCTTAAATCTTGTCTCATCTGTATCGAGCAGATGTTGCAATTTTTTCTTCATCATTCAGCTTGGTTTTATCTGTATTATTAAACAGGGTGTTGCAAGTTATCTTTTTTGACTTGGCCTCACCTGTATCGCACAGGGTGTTGCAAGTCTTTCATTATGACCATACAGTTGTCACTTGTTA